AAAGTCCCACACTGACGGGTTACAGGCTTTCGATGCGTCCTCCTCTTAAAAAAAAAAACATATACATACATATCTATACATACAAGGAGGAATTTTCATTATATATACATCTGATATTGTGTATCTAAAAATATATAGATATAAAAATATATACATATGTGCATTTATTTGTATGTATATCGCATAAAACGACTTAAAAAACATTAAATAATAATAATAATAATAATAGATTGGCGCTTACACATATGTTAGTGTTTGGCCGAGCTTCTCCTCCGACTTGTGGCGTGCGCCTTGATGTTGTCACACAAAGCGGAGGGACCTACAGTTTTACGCCGACTCCGAACGGCGATGGTATTTTTATGAGAAGCTGTTTTTCATGGCAGAAATACACTCGGAGGTTTGCCATTGCCTGCCGAGGGGCGACCGCTGTTAAGAAAAAACCTTTTTTCTATATTTTTTTTGCAATGTTGCTTTGACCAGGGCTTGAACCCAGGTGCTGATGAGTGGAAGCGCGCACTGCTTACTACTACACCACAGCGGCCGACTTAAAAAACATTTAGGTTTGTTTAAATCAGAAAATTTTTTTTTTAGTTGACCACTGACCTCGGAATTCACGATAGGGAATTTGTTTTTGACGAATCGAAACAGTTTGGCTCTTTTCAGCGATACTTGGAGTTTAAAATACTATTTCATTTAGGTCTCTATTAATTTTCGATCGCTAGATATTTGCTTTTATACATACATTTTTTTTTAGTTGAACTTTGACCTTGGAATTCAAGGTCAATAAACTGTTTTTGAAGAATCTGAATAGTTTTCCCGTATTCACCAGTATGTGGGCTTTATAATGCCGTTTAGTTTGTGTCTCTATCTCGTTTGGATCGGGAGATATTTGATTTTGTCCATTTTTTCCCAAAACAGAACACAGTGCGACGCCTCGTGAGTAACTTTGCATCAAAGTTAAGAAGAAACCGTATTGAAACTCAAATGGGAAAACCTCTTCAGGGGAAGAATTTTGGCCCCTATTATGAGTTGCATTCGATTTTCGACTGTGGTCGAAAGTGCTGAGCGAACGAATTTTCATTTGGTATTATGGCGCTCATTCGATGAAGAATAGCGCTATTGTGAATTTCGCTCGTTTAGGTTGTTCACAATAGTATATTTTTCACCGCTGAGAAGCTTTGTTTACAAATCGAGTAAACTAAATAGTGTGCTTATACATATTTATGTAAATTTGTTCTAATTAAAATGAAGTAAAAAAGAAAGCAAGTTTATATAAACGTGGTAAAATGAGTACAACGAGTTCTTGTTCAACGATTCGTCAGAGGATGAGAGCTTAGTAAACTGGCCAGGAGTAGCAAATGTTTAAGAGAGTTTAAGGCCCCTATTATGAGTTACATTCGATCTTCGACTGTGCTCGAAAGTGCTGATCGAACGAATTTTGATTTGGAATTATGACGCTCATTCGATGAAGAATAGTGCTATTGTGAACTTCGCTCGTTTATGTTGTTCACAATAGCATATTTTTCACCGCTGAGAAGCTTTGTTTACAAATCGAGCAAACTAAATAGTGTGCTTATTAGACCGTTCGTTATTTTAACTATTTTTTTAAATATACAGTTTGCCGGGCTCAAAAATATGTGTTTTGGTCTAAAAATAAGCTGTGCAAAATTTTATTCGAATATGATAACTCTAAGTACTTGCGCGTTGCATTTGAAAATTTAGAAAACCATATGCATTCTGGGAAAAAAATGTTTAACAAAATAGTTGAAAGTCGTGAATTTTATAGTCATTTGCCATGTAAAATAACCTACACAATCTGAATATGAGGTCAAAAATTAAAAAAGTAGAATAGGTTTTAAGAATTTGCGAAATTATCGTTTTTTTTTCAAATTGAGAAAACAGCATTTTAAATTTTTTCCAAAAA